AGGAGGAGGAGGAGGAGGAGGAGGAGGGATGGAGGGAGGAAAAAGGAGGGGGAGGAAGGACTACAAACCTGGCCCTAGACACAGCTTCAGAGGATAGTCCAGGGCTGGAAGCGACCTGGAGATCATCTAGTCCAACCCTGCTCTAGCAGGACATTGTTAAAATGAATTTCTGTCCTTTGATCTCCCAGTTACATGACTACACAGCCATGCCCACCCAGTCACATGACCCCCACCAAGCCACGCCCATGGAAACGGTAGCAATTTTTTTTAGATTCCTTGGACTGTTAGTAGTTTAGATCAGGGGTCCCCAACCTGGGCACCATGGGCCACTGGTGGTCCATGAGAGATTTGCCGCCAGGCCACAGAAATGGCCAGGAAGTGCATGCATGCCAATAGTGGGATTCTGCCCTAATGACCACCTAGGTAGGTGGGGCTTGGTGGTCATGTGACCGGGTGGGCATGGCCAACTCAACATCACTCAGGTCGATGGGCGCTTTGTCTTAGCTGTTACATTGTAATAAGGGTTAACCGGAGAGGCAGTTTCTGTAAGCAGGGCAATAAAAATTAGGCTAGAAACAACACCAGAATTTTTCCTTCCTGCCTTCCTTACAGGATTAGCCCTGTAAAGTGGGAAAAAAATCAAAAGGAAATTTCTTCCAACAACCGGTTCTTCCGAATAGGTGAGAACCGGCTGAATCCCACCACTGATGCATGCACACTCACATCCTCACTTGCACGAGCACTAGGCAAACTCACTCATGGGTGCTCCATTTAAGTGAGTGGCAGGCCTCCGTGCATGCCACTCATGCAAATGGAGCTGAGTGTGCACGTACTTGCCAGCTGCTCGTACAGAGCCATCCCCTCTGCCCCAAAGCCAGTCTGCAGGGCCAGAAACTCTGGGGAACTCTGGTTTAGAATCTTGTACAGAGCTTAAGCTTGTACTAATTCTTTATAAGCCACAGTGTCAGGTTCCGAAGGGTTAATGAAAACAGCCAAACACAGATATGGTTTGAAATGCAGTTTATCTCCTCCGGCACGAACTGACCAACAAAGCACTAAGGCAATGAATAAATTGTCAGAGTAAAATCTGGTGCTTCCCCACCAACGTTTATACTGTATGTGATATTAAGGCTAAACCCCACCCCCACGCAAGCACACACCCATCACCTTGTGAAAACCACCCGCCAGTCAGTCATGGAGAGTTATGGAAAGTTCTCAATGTCAGCATTCCAAATAGCATCCAGAAATAAATCAGAGTCCAAGGCAAAGGATTGCCCAAAGTTCCAATTTATTAAGAGAGCCATGTTGGCACCTCTGGGAAAACCCGAATCTGAAAGCTTCCCGGTTTTCCCCACCCAGTTGAAAGTTCCATATCTTGCATCCACACACCCACAAGTCCATCCCATGTTCCAATCTCCCACTGCCACACTAGCAGTTCCACCCATCCAATTCCGGTCAGTTGCAGAGGTTCAGAGACAAAGAATGACCTTGGCTTTCTAGAAAGAATTTTGTTACGGCTACATAGTATATAACTCCATACAATTCCCCTCTACCATTTTCCCACAATAGAAAAGGCATAGCAGAATAATAGAAAGTGTGGCAGGCCAAAGATCCAAAAGAAAATATGGCTGCAGGCCCGACACTCATATTGTTTGCTTGTGGAGGAGGGAGATCTCCAGCTGGTAAGCATGATTCCCAACATCTCCCACAGCCGCGGTGGTGCAGTGGTTAGTGTGCAGTAATGCAATTTGATAGTTCGAATCTCATCAGGCTCAAGGTTGACTCAGCCTTCCATCCTTCTGAGGTGGGTAAAATGGGGTTCCAAAATTGTTGAGGGCAATATGCTGACTCTGTAAACCACTTAGAGAGAGCTGAAAAAGCACTGTAAAGCAATCTATAAGTCTAGTATTAATGTCTGATATACAGTGTGGGTTCCAGGCAGATGAGTGACATTTGAGAATTGATGTGGCAAAGGTTTTGTAGGCCCTAGCTAACCATACAATGTTACTGGAGAAGAAGCTTTGCAAATAAGATTAACAACTCTTAATGCCTTTTTGACAATGTTGTTAGAGTGAGCTCTGGGGCTTGGATAATTAGAGATAAATACTAAGTCATTGACAGAGTTAGGGTCAGCTACAAGATAGTTTCCACCTAATTTGTATTTGGTATTCTGATTTTTTTTGGCCAATGTGTAGGACAGCACATTTGTTTGTTGAAATGTGGAGTTGCCAATTACATGACCATTCTGACGCATAGTCTAGGTCGCATTGTAGGGTAGCAGTATTGTTGGTGGCATTAAATAATTTTACGTCATCACGCTACGTATTATCATGTATGGTGGACTTGTAAAAAAGTTAAAGCATTTTGGATAAAAATATGGTGGATTATTCAAAATATTCTTAAAAAGAGGATAAAGTTTACTCCTCAGTTGTTCTTGCTAGGTATTATTACAGACCGTACAGTTATTTGATTCTGAACTTAATAACGGCAGCAAGATTGTTGGTGGTGCAATATTGGAAGAAGGAAGAATTGCCTACTATCCAAGAATGGATGTTAAAAGTAGTAAATTTAGCAGAGATGGCCAAAATCTCAGCATATTTGAAGAACCATTCAGATGAGAAATATCATTTGGAATGGAGAAGATGGATTGATTACATTCAAAATAAATATCGGACTAAGAAATTTCAATTAGCTTATGAATGAACAAGGAATGTTATAATTTATCTAAATTTAGTTTAATAAAAGGGGAGTTAAAGTACAAGAGGGAGGTAGGATGTTATAGTTAGTTAGCTTATGTTAGTGTAAGATTGTTAAATGTTTGTACCTTGTATGTTGCTCTGGGAAGTTGTGGGGAGGGAGGGTTGGAGAGGGGAGGGTTGGGGTGGGGGAGGGAAGGGGAAGGGGAAACATTTATAAAATTCATTAAAACTTTTCAATAAAAAATAAAAAGAACAAAATAATTTTGCGTCATCAGCAAAGAGGACACAGTTGCTTTTAATGTGATCATACAATAAATGTTTTAATCCCAAAATTGTATACATACAATTTGAATGTAGTAACAACAGATAAAACAAGAAAACCCATTCATGCAGTGTTTCTCAACTCCTAGAAAGATGGACTACAGCTTCCAGAATTCTGCAACTATTGTTACTATTAATGATTATTCCAGCAGTTCATAAACTTGGAATTTCCTCGTGTTGGGCAACGTTACTTTAATCCTTTCTTCTTATTAGCTGATCCTTGGTGTTCAGCTCAGGTCTCAGCAGAATGATGTAGCATTTAGGGAAAAAGATACATCCCAGTAATCCAGCACTGGAAGCTAAGATGGAGAAGATCTCCACAGCCAACAAGGCTTTTCCAGTGGAGCTCAGGTAAGTAGGAACAAATAGCAACCAAACACTGCAAAATACCAGCATGCTAAAGGTAATGAATTTGGCTTCATTGAAGCTGTCTGGTAATCTGCGAGCACAGAAGGCCACAAAGAAGCTGGCAAGGGACAAGAAGCCCATGTAACCTAGGACACAGGAGAACATCACCGGAGAGCCTTCATTACATTCATTGATGATGGCCTCAGTCACAGAATGCACGTTCAACTGTGGGAATGGGGGGAAAGTTCCTAGCCAGATGGTACAAAGTCCAACTTGGATGAGCGAGAAGAAAAGGACAATGGAGGTCGCCATCCTTTTTCCCACCCACTTCTTCATGTTGGAGCCTGGCCTGGTAGCCATGAAGGCCACAACCACAGTGAGGGTTTTGGCCAAGATACAAGAAAGAGCCACAGAGAAGTTGATTCCAAAGATTGGTTGTCGGAGAAGGCAAGTGACTTTACTGGGTTGACCAATAAATAAGAGAGGACACAGGAAGCAGAAGTAGAGGGAGATAAGGAGAATGTAGGTGAGGTCCCGATTATTAGCTTTGACCAGAGGGGTATCTCTGTACTTAAGAAATATGCCTAATATATGAGCAGTGATCAAAGACAATGAAATAGAAATGGAGGCTAAAATAATCCCTAGAACTTCCTTGTAAGAAAGATATGTTACAGTTTTGTGGATACAGTCATCTTTTCCTTTGGTTGGGTATTGGTCTTCTGGACATTTGAAGCATTTTTCCATATCTTTAAGACAGAAAGGAAGGAAAGAAAAAAGAAAGATTTCAGGTTAATTTGTATTTTTACAGAGTGTGTGTATGGGTATGCATGTTCCAGCGTAACTCTGGAGCATCTTGAGTCATTTGAACCAAACTTGGTACACAGATGACTTACCCTCTGGAAACAAATACTAGGAGGGGAGAGACACCCATGGTGTGTGTGTGTGTGTGTGTGTGTGTGTGTGTGTGTGTGCGTGTGCGTGCATGCTCAAGCATAACTCTGGACCATCTGGCCTATTAAGGAGAGTGAGTGTGGTGTCCTTTAGCAGCAATTTTTTGTAATGTCAGTTCGCAGCTTCCTCTGGAAAGCCAGCTGTGATATCTGCCCTCCAGTGGACCAATGGGGAAGCTCCTGCTGGATTTGGGCCAAAGTACCAGGATTATAGACAGGACAGGAAAGAAGATATATGTATGTATGTCAATTTGACCTCATGATTATGGCATATGGCAAGAAACCAGAAGATGGTGAGCTCTACTCCCACCTTAGACAGAAATTCAGCTCGGTGACCTTCACTCAGTGGCACCAAACATAACATGTACTGCTTTGTATTTCATAAAAGTAGAAGACCCAAAGGTGTTTTTTCAAGAGGCAACTGGACGTTCTGTTTTTTTCTCAGAAGAGGCTTTGCTTCTCATCCAAGAAGCTTCTTCAGCTCTTCTTGAACTTTGGATGAAAAGTGAAACATCTTGGATGAGAAGCGAAGACATGTGATGGTATGAGGTCCTGTCCTTGCCCTATCTTCTGCTAAACTAGCCGTTTGAAAGCATGTAAATGTGAGCAGATAATAAGTACCACTTTGATGGGAAAGTCACAGAACTCCTTGACATCATGCTGGCTATGTAGTTGAGAAATGTCAGTTTCTAAGTTCTGGTTAGCTAACTGACACAGCAGCTTACATTATTGCTGTAAAGTGAGAAACAAGAGACTGTTGTAGCAATGGATAAGGTACCTGTTTTGTTTGAAATCTCTCCTTCTGGGCAAGGAACGCAGTCATAGCAACAAAATTTTTCCCCTTCCTTCTTTTTCTTTTGTTTTCCAGGATGGCATTGTTCATTACATACAGAAAGGGGACAGACCTAATATGAGTAGGAAAAAAAAACTGGAATGAGAATGATACATCCCGGTATCTCTCTATACAAGTGATCTTCGACTTACAACAGTGACCATTCAGAGTTTACAGGATTAACGTGATTTTAAAAAGTGAGTTGTGGCTGTTTTTCACACTTAACAACCTTTGCAGCATCCCTGCAGTCATGTGATCAAACTTCAGATCTTTGGCAACTGGTTCATATTTATCAGAATTTGATAAGAGGCGGGGGGGGGGTTCCATCTGCTCTAGCTTAACTTCTTTTCTCTAGTTTAGATGACATTTTTTCCTTTGTTTCCTTAATAACTTAATTATTTGTCCCAAATGGGCTTGTCGATAAGGCAATTGTCAACCCTGGAACCATCTTGAAATGTCTTCAGGGTTGCCACAGTGAGACTAGATGGAGTTGTTGGAAAAGGAAGTGGAAGTAGAGATAGTTGGGGGAATATGTAGCCAAAATAACACTCTTTCTTCTGGGAACCAAGGACACTCTCACCAGCACCTGGAGGAGCATGGATGGGAGACTTCCAGAATGGGGAGAGAGTCCTGATTGGCGCATGTGATGTTTGTGTGTGATGGGAGGAAGAACTTTGAACTGGATGGGAAAAACCTGGGGAAATTCAGAGTTGGCTTTTCACCAGCTGTGCCAGGGTGACATGCCTAATAAATCTACACTTTGAGGAGGCCTCTGGAAATGGAGTTTTGATTTCATTTGGGCTGTTACTTGGAAACCTGGCAGCAACTGGACTTTGCTTTCCTTTGAAGACATTTTGCTTCTCGTCCAAGAAGCTTCTTTAGATTTTCCGTTAGAATTGAAGTGGCATTTAATTTTGTTGTATGAGATGCAGTAACAACAAAGTAAACTTAAACTTAGAGAGGATTCTGCAGATGCTAATAAAAACAGAAAGGTTGAGATTTCACTGGAAAGAAAATAAGAGTGACTGGTGTTCAATAGCAGTAGACTTATATACCGCTTCATAGGCCTTTCAGGCCTCTCTAAGCGGTTTTTACAGAGAGTCAGCATATTGCCCCCAACAATCTGGGTCCTCATTTTACCCACCTCGGAAGGATGGAAGGCTGAGTCAACCCTGAGCCGGTGAGATTTGAACAGCCGAACTGCAGAACTGCAGTCAGCTGAAGTAGCCTGCAGTGCTGCATTTAACCACTGTGCCACCTCGGCTCTCTCTGCTTGGCTTGAGCAGGGGTGTGAGTGTGTGTTTGTCTGTGTGTGTGTGTTGGACTGGATGATTTATAAGGTCTCTTCCAACTCTGTTAATCTGTTAAATCCATTAAGATACAATTATTTTCACAGTCCAGATACAGGAAGCCGTATGCAGTCACAAGTGCCTATGAGAAAACTGAATTTTAGTCATAGAGAGGTCTGAAGAGAAAACACAATGTGATAATGGACATCAAAGTGCTCTGCTTTTTTTCACAATTACCTGCCAAGGTTGCAGCTCAAAAAGTTCAAATGTTTTAACCTTCCTGAAGACTCTCTGACGGGACTGAGATGACAACATGGCATTCAAAGCATGTGCTGCTGCATGAACCCCATTATAGATACTGTAGCTATGGGTCGTGGTTCCCATCTCAAACAAAGGCCTAGGGAGATCTTGTAATCTCTCTTTCCCGGTACACATTTCATTCTTCTCTATTTCCTTACCAGGAACTGGAAAACTACAGTCAAATGCTCGCTCCCAAAACTCTTTAAGGAAGCTCTGATCTTTAGTTTTGGATGGTTTTATGCCCTCAAGAAACTCACTGAACCCCGGAAGTTCTCTTGAGTGAAACATAAAGGAAATGGCACCCTGGAAAAAGTCCAAGTCCCAACTCCTTTGCAAGAAGGGTAGTGTGAAATCAATCCCACTTGTCATGACCCATACTTTCATAAATGAATCTTTTAATTTATTCCCGGGGTCTTGCATGAACAGAATGGTTCTTAGCTGTGCCAGGGTCACTGATTCTCCATAGAGGAGAAACACCGTGGTTTTGCGGTCCATTAAAGGGACATCAATATACGCGGTTATTTCAACCATCTCTTCAAAGTTATCCAAATGGATGCGCTGTGGGATTTTTTGCCTGTAAGCCGTGCAGATTCCATTCTGGAAAAGCAAAGCTTCCATAGTCTTCAGAAACTTCTGCCCGTTGTCATTGTCATGGATGAACATCCCTATCCAGGTCCATCCAAAATGCTGAAGCAATTTCAGAATCCCCAAGTATTGCTGGGCTTCGTTTGAGACCATAGAATAGAAGGAAGGGACCAGAGTGGAATCAGTCTTCCCAGGGACCAATGCGCCATAGGTGAGCTATGAATATAATTATAATTTTTGAAACCAGGGGCCATCTTCATCTCTGTATATCTGATTGTGCTACCATTTTTGAAACAATCTGTCCGTGCATAGAAAACCATGTGCTGGTTTGTCAAGGTTAAGGTTAAGGTTTAATGGACTTGTATGCCGCCCAATCCCGAAGGACTCCGTCAAGGCATGGTGAAGCATGCATTATTTTGGAAACTGTTTCTAAAGTGTTAATGCATAATGCATTTTCAGCAAGAATAGAATAGAATAACAGAGTTGGAAGGGACCTTGAANCAGAACAGTTATCTGTGCTAAATCCAGACCTGATTTGATGGGAAATAAATGTCAGTGATCCATCGGGGGAACATGGGTTCCCCACTCAAGAATCCACAAGAATACACACCTGATTGAAAGCTCTGTGCCACAAAATCATGTCATCATGGAAGACAAATTCATCTTCTTGGGGTCCATATGGATGAATCCATCCAATTTTCACTCTTTCAAAGGACCTGTTTGGAAAAACGACCATGTGCACAACGTCAAATCCACCTCTCATCTCCTTTTGATCATTGAAGGACACTGTGTCACCAGCCGAATTGTTGAAGGAAACCCTTTGAAGATAGGGATGGAGCTAATGGAAAGCCAAGAGGAGAAAAAGGAAACACAACATTTAGAAGAAAGAAAACAAAAGGGATGAATATTCATTAGATATCATTTCTGCTCACAGTTGTGGTGACCTGGGTCTACTTCCTTAATTCCAGGCATTGATTCTGATTAAGAAATATTATGACCTCATAAACTTCAAATGAGCCTCAGGCTAATTTCTTCTCTTTCTCTTACCTCTAATGGAGCCAAACTTCCAAAAAGTTGTGAAAAGAATCATTTTAGCTTTTCAAGGGGTGGAGCCCAATATGGAATGAGTCTTGGTCATGTTCCCTACTTCCTATGAAATGGCTAAGTACAATGTGCAATTTCTTTCATTGTTTCATAGTTCAGCCAGTAGGATTTCAATTTTAATTCAGGATAGAGCTGGAAGAAACCTTGGAGGTTTTCTAGTCCAACACCCTGCTCAGACCCTACACTATTTCAGACAAATGGCTGTCCAGTCTCTTCTTTTTTTAAAAAAAAATCCTAATTTCTCTTTCTATCTAAAGCTTCAAATCCAAGTAAACACAATCACAAAGATGGTGCAATATTAAAAAATGAGAAAATAAGACAGTACTGGACTGCATAAATAGAGGGATAGAATCAAGATCATGTGGTTAATACCACTTTATAAGGCCTGACAGGATAGTAGTCCAATATCTCAAGGTCTGCCACAAAGAAGAGGGGGTCAACCTGTTCTCCATAGCACCTGAGGGCAGGACAAGAAGCAATGAATGGAAACTGATCAAGGAGAGAAATAACCTTGTTGAGGACTCAGAATGGAAACTGATCAAGGAGAGAAATAACCTAGAACTAA